TCCATTAATGCACGGCAAATATGTTGCTGTCAGACCCAGTAATAAAGATTAGGCTGGAGCAGCCCCTGGAAAAAGCGGTTACTAAAAATCAGCCTAGCTCGTTCAGGTCCGGAATTGCGACGAATGTGGGTTTTGCGGGTGAAAGGTTGGAGGCTGAGGCAGAGGCATGAGAGCCAGGTGTAGTAATTTAGGTCTCGAGGCTAATAAAGAAGGGGAAACGGCAGGATTTATAGACTGCACAGCAATTGAGAACTCGCATGGAGTAGAAAATGGAAACAGCGAGGCTTACGTGGAGGGACACCACCTTAAGGAGCTTTCGCAATCATTTTGAACCTTGCCGTTGAGGGGAAGTTAGCGATCTTGAACACGGCATCAAGGACCTTACCTAAACAAAAAACCGGCACCACGATCATCACAACTCGAGCCTGAGCCCCCACAACCCACGGGTAGGCCAAGCCGTTCCAGTAACTGCCTTGGAAAAGGACACAACTACAGCATTCACAAAAAAAAAAAAAAAAACAGTGAAGCAAATTCCCCACTAATGAAAAGCTGTTGAACGCTCCGGGAGCTGATAAAATAACGTTTCAGGATCCCCGCTTCATTTCTCCAAAAAGCAACCCAACTTCGGGCAAAAAGCAGGCCAAAATGCCCGCTCGACACGAACCATAATCTTTGAGTTCCAAAGAAATCCTTCCAAATCGAAATCTGCGTCCGAAAATAGATGCGAGTCTTTGGGCACTTTCTTGCCATGCTACACCCACTTATTTGGTTATTTCTCATTGTACTTAGCATCTCGCAACATTTCAGCTTTATGTACTCATATTTTCACACTGCAACATCCCTCTCTCTCTCACCGGTGATCTCCCAGTTTTCGTTTATTATAAAGCTGCAAACAAGTACCAAAATACAAGTGTTATCAAATACAGCTGACACACGAATGGTGCTAAAATCGGTTACGAAAGCAATAACAACCAGAGATTACAATAATTACAAAAACATGGCTAATCAAGAGTACAGTTCTACTGCTTCAACATGTAATTTTCAGTCGTTCGTTTGAATCACAATCGAGAAACACAAATTGCTGGGAACGCATGCCTACTGCAACCCTCAAAATAAATAATATTCCCCGTCCCAGCCGAACACCGTGTTACAAAAGGGAGGGTTTTTCTGATTTTTCCAACGAGTGCTAGATGTTTTCAAGGTGCATGAATGTATGGAAATATGAAACGAGCAGGGTGCAAAATGCTCGGTTCAAAGCAAGAAACTCAGGTCTCATCAATTCAGTCAAACACTCTGGCTGCAACATCGTACCCTTAACGAATTATAAAATATATGCCTATTCGTAGCAAACAAAATAAAGACGAACACAAATTCGATTCAAATTAACACACCACTGACAAGCAAAACTTAAACTGATATGTGCATCAACATTACGTCGCCCGTACCTAACGGATTCATGAACGGTGCACAGATATTAGGCTGTTGTGAAGCTGCATTTACAAAAAGTTTCGGAATCCACCTGCTAGGATTCCAAGAAATCGTTTCGTTCTCCATAGCTAGAGGCAGGCAAACTGCAGTGCGAAGATATCATAAATTTAGCATGGCGAAGGCAAAAAACAATATGATTCCGAGTGAGGGATTTTCCCAAATGTTCCTAACCTGGGAAATTCCGTGACTTTTTTCCAGCTCGCGAGGATTGTTATAAAGCAGCAGGGCCCGATACGCATAGAAGCATTCCAAAAATGACAAAATAAGCCCCGTTTCATAAATTTTGAAAATGTATTAAACATACAGCTTCATATAAACAAGTAAAAAAAGGAGGTTAAAAGGCAACAAAGCATCAAAAATACGCTAACAGATCATGGGCTACAGAATGAAGAGAGGCGCAAAGCACACAACGCAAGCGGGCTATAGAATTGACTAAAACTGGCTTCCCCATTTATCTCTGATTCCAAGTCATGCAACGTTGAGAGAGGGGAAAAGAATGCATCAGCTGTGTGTGTCTTTTCCAAAACACTATTTTTGCCTTTCAGAAAAACAAATTTCGGCGGACGTTTTAAAATCGTGACGCGAATAATGCGCCTTTCTTCCAACCAAAAAAGCAGCAGTGATTTTGCCCGACAAAAAAAAACGGGCCACTCTACCCAAAAATAAATAAAAAGCGAGACCTGAAAGAGCAGAGCTGATAAATACAAACGATGCAATACAAAAACACTACACCACTAAAACACTGAATTTCTCCTTGAGAGCGAAATTTATAACAAATGAAGAATGCTGACACAAAATCGCACTCCAATATGATACTTCTCAAGAAAAAAAAAATAATGACGGGAAGGCGCGTGCCTTTACTTCGACAAACGAAAAGATCCAGTTTTGGCTTTCATATTTCGCCCAAGCTTATGATCCGGCGAATCTCAATGACTTGGTGGATTCGAACTCCTTCACTGTTCCTTGATTAATTAGCTTTATCCTCTGTTACTTTCTTTATTAATAATACTCCTAGCGTTTTTGCAAATCCCAAATTATCGCAATGTGTTTGATATCGGTGCAGTTAAAACCTGCACAGATTGCAAGATCACAGCACAGGAAAAGCAACTTCAGAGCGTAACAAGCCTAGTTTTCATCACAGTTTGTGCATTGATTCTGTGCAAAAGCTAGGTCAAAGAACAGACCGACATGTGCCAGTTTCCAGAAGCGAATTTTTTTCTTTTTTTTTGAAGAAAGATTCAAAAGATTCTGTTCAGAAATAAAATTTGCTTAGGAAAAACAGCAGCTAAAAACTCATGAAAAAATAGTTCAAAAAAAAATTTCGCAAAATGCTGCTTCACTAAAAATCATTCCCAAACAGAGGTCACTTCCAATACGAATCTAATTATTGATTTTTCACAGCAGTACCAAATTTTTTTGAAAACACATAAAAAAAGGCATAAAAAAAGAGCCTCGCCTTAATTTTGCGCGAGCTTAGAGATATTATCACATGCAACATATTTTTTGCTAGACAACAAGTCTCTAGAAATTTCTGGAAATACTTTTACTAATGCATACGTGTCACGGTATCTTTTTCAAATAACAATATTCTGTCATAACGA